TTCTTTTATTATTAGCATTATGGGAAAATGTATTTTTTTCTTTCTTTTTTATTAATTATGTTATTTTATCTATTGATTTTATTTCATTTTGTCAAAAATAAATACATTTTGACAAGTATTTTTCGCTGATGTTCGATTTTGAGACTGTATGGCGATCGCGCGTCAATACAGACGCAAAAGAGGCCCCGAGTCGCTGTCAAAACTAGTTACATCTGAGTTTTCTTCGTAGGCAGCAGGACAGCTTGGCATGTCTAGATACAGGCCTCTCTGCAATTTGTCCAGATCCGAGTCTTTGTCAGCAGTTTCATGCTAATAAAAGCGACGGGAGAGACAGCAGTGGGCAGTTGGTGAGATTTGGTGTCTTGTGAAGTCGGTCCCGTGTTTCTGGGGCAGCGTTGTTTTGTTTCCTCTCGTCTCTTTCCCTTCTCTGCCTGTTACCTTATAGCTCTTGGGAGAGCAGTCGGTTAGGTGTTTCACCCAACATCAACACACCCTAGCTATATTTTACAACATATTCTTTATTCTTTAGAAAGTGCTTATAAAAAATGAAAGTCCGCAGAAGAAAAGTTATAGAACCGCACAAACAAGTACAAATCTTTTGCTGTTATGCAATTTCAATAGAATTTCTTTATCTAACTTTGAACTCGTAAATAAAAATCTTATGAGCGTCCTTTTTTTCCCCTTGTTTTGTTTATGGGTAAATAAATTCAGCCTGTAAAGAGTATAAAATTTTAACTCTTAATTGAAGAATGACTCGATAAAAGGATATATATAATATTTTTTCTCCTCAATAGGAGTTGATGGGTTCATCGATCGCCCAGTTCACCCATCTCGTCCTTTTGAACAGGAGTAGAGGTTTATCCCTTGTTGCCTGTTTAGGTTTAGGTTCACGGTTCCTTCTAAAGTCTTTTCATTCTATTTCACTCCTTGTGCAAAGGAAATGGATTCGACCGCGTGAAATAAATGGTATCAACAAACCAGAAGCTGTCGGAAAAGATGAGAAACATAAGAGACATTTGGCTTTGACGCTCCAACTGAACATCTCCTCTAAGCAAGAAAACTGGATCTAAACAAGGCAAAAAAGGGGGGGCGAGCCGCGGGTCGTGAATAAAGGATCATGCTGGTGAAGCATCAGGTGAATACGAAAGATATAGGAAAAATTACTGGACATCTTCAGAGATCAGAGAAAACTGTGAAGCGCCAAAGTTACGCTCGTGCCCATAATAAGTAGCACACTTGGAATGTTAAAAACAAAACAGCACTAAAATCAAAATCAGGACGACTTAAAAATTTGAGGAAGGGTAGACTGTATGAACTATGGCGTTGCTAGAGTCTTTGAGAATATTAAGGAAAGTGCTGGAGATTTGAGGAAACTTGCTGTCACTCAGTCTTCAGAGATGACCACCAAATAGCATTACCATACAAATGCATCATAATTAACAATAACGTAGTAGTAGTAGTAGTAGTAGTAATAATAATAAGAAGAAGCAGCAGCAATGTTGCAACCGGAAGCTACTCTTTCTTGAGAACTTTAAGTTCTCTGCCTGGTTTCTTGTATTTAAGTAGGCGGTAGCTCACGAGTCGTGCTAGGAATTTGTTACATCAGCCAAAGACGTGCTGTGGTAATTTCTGGCAAATTCTGAAATCTGCTGCAAGCTAAGACCTACTTAGACATTGGTGAGAATGAAACTGGGGAACAAAACATCGTTGATGTCAGCAGACATTAGGACTTAGGAGTTTGAGATTCAAATCCAAGGAAGGTTATGGTTTTTTTTACGTTATTTTTATTTATTTATTTATTTTTTACCGTCAGATTCACTGATTGGTATCCGACAGGATACCTAACTTTTTTTATTTTTATTATCTCTTTTCTTTGAAAACTGGATTGTTTGTTTACTTGTAAAATCCTTACTTACACCAAGTTTTCGTTTTAGAAGTATCGCTCGACCAGCTTTAAGGCGAACGGAGAAATTTTCGCCCAAGAGCGTTGTTTGAAGCAAAGCAAAAACGATAAAGGAAAATAAAAACTGGTAATAAAACAAAAGCAATAATAAACAGTGTATCGACCCATAAAAAGGGGGGGATCTTTTTCTGTTTAATTAATTCATCTCAAATAATGTATTAAACTTTACTGATCGCAAATATTAATTTACCGGTTACCCCAAGAAATTATCAATTTTTAAATCAAAGTTTGTTTTCCTCGCAACAGCTCCAATAGGTGAATGAAAAATTACCAAAAATCAGTTAATTTTACATATTTCGGATAATATTCGAGGTACCTACAAGGATTTTTTTACAATTTAAAAAATCTGCTTTTGGTTTGTTTATCGGAGTAAGCACGAACTTTGACCCCACACTTTGAAATAAAAAGAAATGGAAGGGCCTCGCTCTGGGAGAATGTGAATTTTAGTAAATATAAATTCTTTTTTTATTTTGGGGTGAATTAATATTTTGAGGTGAATTAACAGAAAAGATCGAAAAATAGAAATAATGAAAAGGATTTAAAATTAATAATAAAATAATATTTGTCTTATGGCAAATATCAGTGTAAGAATAGATCAGTTTTTGCTTTAAAGATAAAATCTCTGTTTATTTAGTAAAAATTTCATACGTTATTTCGTTTAACTTCTAAGCTAGGATGTTGAAACTATTTAACACATTATATTTATGGCTTCCAATTCTTTTAGAAAGGGAGTTACCTAAAATGCAAAATCCGCCAGGATTAAGAATAAGATTACCATTAGCCAGCAAAGAAGATGGTATTCCAAAAGTTGCATTATCAATGATTACCTTGTAAATTTTATATTTCTTTATCAAATGGAATCATTTTTCTGTATGTGACAATATATTATTAAGAAATTTTATTGGTCGAATTATGGAATATGATGTCATGCAAATTTTCCCTGGTTGCTATTTCACAAGTGTATGTTTTCTGCCAATTGTTGCATGGTTTTGTAATGGGTTAATTTGTTAAAGTTTTATATATATATATATATATATATATATATATATATATATATATATATATATATTACACATGAGATGAGAGCGAATAGAATAAAATTCCAACATTCGTAACATTTAATTTAAAAGAGGGCTCAATACAAAGTAGAGTAATATTATTTATTTTAGGATATTACATCGAAAACATGTCAAAATCGCTACGCAATTGCAGCCGTATTTCGATGCATATCAATGCATCTCATCAGACAATTGTAAATTACTGGCAAGTGAATGATTTATTTAGATTTAAAAGCAAAATACAACCTCTTTTACGAAAAAAAAAACCAAAGAAAAAGCGGGGGTATAAGGTTTGAACGTCTGTGCTGCCATTGATTGCTAATCTACAGGTGATGACACATTTTTGGAAAATAATTTCTGCTTCTCCACTTAGTTTAAATATAACGTAGATCATATTTGATTGGTTGATCCGAGTAAAGCCCACAAACTCATTATTGCTGGAAAATGCTCAGGAAAAACGATGACCTGTTTACTGTGTAGTGGACCGTGGCTGTGATGTTGTTGAGTAGAAGTAGAAGAAACATGTGGGTTCAGATTTTCCTGCTATTTGGTCCAACTACACAAGAAAGTTGGACTTTTAATTAAGTCCAAAGAATGCAAAGAAAACAAACAAAACACAAGACCGATAATATATGTATACAAATATATATATATTAATAACAGGTTACATAGAAAAAGTTACAAAAGGACAAAGTGTGTGTGAATATTATATATGTGCGTTTGTGTGTGTGTGTATTGTGCTTAGCGTGTTCCCAGCATTTTTGGGAAACGCTATCTCTGGTGAGCGTTCACATTTTTGAGGTGGTAAGTCTGGCAGCCTGAGGAAAAAGAGAGATTTACCTCAAGGTGTCGGTGCGAAGGCCTGAGAGAGAAAGAGAAAGAGGCGAAGGGTCAGCGGCTATTTATAGCAGCGAAGAGCGACCCTTGGTGAAAGGGTTACGAACTGAAGGAGGAGTTAACTCCGACAACTGTTTTTTTTTTTTTTAAATAGCATTAAATCAGTTTACAAACATTAAAATCACTATTTGAAGATTTAATTTTTTTTTTTTTGTATAAAAATTGTCAATAATTTTTAAAGCAGTTCACTGACTTTAACTCCTAACCCCTAACTCTAACATATTTCATACTGCCAACAGTTGCTAAATATCATACCATAGTAGAAAATGGACGGTAGATACATAGTATAGTAGCACTTTCTCTGCTATGAGTACTAAAGGTCGGTATAAAAAAAAATCGAATCACCCGGATAAGACCAGAGAAACTATCCGACTTCATCTGTTTATTTTATTGGTGACAAAGGAACGCGTTGCCCCGGCTCAGAGAACAGATTCAAATGAGCTTGAACAAATTTGTTGAATCAGCGACTTGGCTATCAACCCAAAAGTTTACTTGAACTGAGGGAAATTAAAACCGCGTTTTCTATACAGATTTAGAGGTGGGGGTGGGGACAGGTAATTCTGAATGCACTAAATCACACTTTAACTGCACAGGTAATTAAACTAATAGATATTTTTTAAGACATTGTATGACGGATACTCTGCAAAATTTGTTTATCCATTCCATGAAAGTGCAAGAAAACTAATTTTGGTTCATATATATATATATATATATATATATATATATATATATATATATATATATATATATCTGTGTTTAAAGGTACTATTCAACTTTGCTTGGTCACCTTATGGATATTTAACTAGCATTTTATACACACACACACGTCTGTGCGCACCACACCACACGTATGTGTGTCTGTGTGTATACTCTTCTGATGTGCACATAGCTTAGTGGTTATCGATGCGAAAACAGTTCAAATTTCATTTGAGGTCGTTTCGTATGAATTAATTTCTTCCTCTCCCCAGTTATGGGTTAAATATCAGCATAGACTAGGCCCTAACTTTGGTTAGCAACCAACCTAGGAGAAGGATAACCCTAAATTCAAAACTGGTTGTGGCTGGTAACCCCGCTCCATAAAGTGTCTATTTGCTACAGAAATCATAGCCGCATTACGTATGTGGCGAAGCCGTTGTTCTATTCTCCATTATAAAGTGAAAAGGACTCGTCGTCTCTCGTCAAATGTTAAATCCTTACAACCTTTGCGCTTTCTCCTGGTGACTGGTTCATGATGCTTCCCTAAATTCTGGATCTGGCCATTGTAACTAGTTTCTATTCGTTTAGTTATTTATGTTTTTACATATTTACAAAAGGTGCGATCTGTTTGAAGACAGACTACTTGAGGGAGAACACCCATAACGCAAGATCTCCAACAGAAAACAAAATCCCGTGCGGACGAAGAGAAGATTGTTTGGTTTATTTTGTTTTACGACATATCAACCTCATTGGGTTATTTAATACCGACAAGATTTTAGGATAGGTTCGTATGAATAGAAATATGTATTCTTTGTAAGAAATCAGTTTGATTTGGTTTATTTTGTTTTACGGCATATCAACCTCAATGGGTTATTTAATACCGACAAGATTTTTAGGATAGGTTCGTATGAATAGAATATGTATTCTTTGTAAGAAATCAGTTTGATTTGGTTTATTTTGTTTTACGGCATATCAACCTCAATGGGTTATTTAATACCGACAATATTTTTAGGATAGGTTCGTATGAATAGAATATGTATTCTTTGTAAGAAATCAGTTTGATTTGGTTTATTTTGTTTTACGGCATATCAACCTCAATGGGTTATTTAATGCCGACAAGTATTTTTTTTATTGCTGGTAATATTTTTTTTTTTCAAAAATATATTGCTGGTAATATTTTATTTTTTCAAATATGTATTGCTGGTAATAATTTTTCTTCAAAAATGTATTGCTGGTAATAATTTTTTACAAAAACGTATTGCTGGTATTAAAACCTATTTTTACACTTTCATAGTGTTTTGACCCTAGTTGCCCATAGCTGGGACCTTAACAGTTGCAATCACTCCAGGTCAGGATGGACCTGGGAACACCAGTGATTAAGAGGTGGTTCCACGCTTCTCAAAACCTCCTGATCAGAGGCCTTGCTGTCGGATGTAGTTTATCGTCTTACCCAGGACGGAAGAAGAGAAGATAATAATGATGAGGATCGGGATGTAACACTACAGGCTTAACACATAGAATTTAGCTTATTACTCGACGTTAGGCGGGCTAAGTGTTTTTTTTTTTTTTTAGTTTCTCGCCTATGGACATCCTTTTCGATTTTTTACTTACCTGCCACCTACAATCTTCAAAAAATTAAATCCAATGTCGATCGCTATCTTCTGTCTCCCAGAAACCCTGTTCCTTTTTTTTATCCTTCCCTGACTTCCCCTCAGTAAAGTCATTTTCACCCGCTGTACCGCACACCTTTGCCTACGCGTCGTAGTGGCATTATCGTCTTGTTTGAGCCCTGACCACCGCTTTACCGGTGGTAGAGAAAAATGACAATGCCCAGCTATTTTTATATCTACTGTGAGACATTCTGTCTTTTTATGTGCCGTATCTCTTCAAGGCGATCATGGCCCTCCACTTCTTCCTATCCCTTGTAGCTCTCAATAAGTTTTGTCTTTTTGCTACTCCCCCCAGGCCCTGTTCTGTCATCCACTTAATCCCGCTATGTATGTCATACGTTGCTTTCTCTTGTCTCTCTTTTCCTCTATTCGCCCTGTGAGTATCAGATTCTCCAAGCCCTCCTTTCTCATTACGTGTCCCAGAAATTTCAGTTGCTTTTTCCTGATGTTAAGTATAAGCTTACTCCTTGTTTGCATCCTCTCTAAAACCTCATCGTCTTCATTTTTGAGGAGACTGTCCAACATTCGCTGCCGTAAAGGAGAACAGATGTCACGTAGCAGCCCAGTACTCTTTTCGTTTTTTTTTTACCAAAGAAATGCTCCTGTCTCGTAATACTCTGACCAGCTTTTGGAATGCGTCTTTGGCCATCCCAATACGTCTTCGGATCTCAGTGTTGCGCTTACTGTCCTCTGTCAAAACACTTCCCAGATATTTAAATTTCCGCTCCTGCTTGATTTTAATGTCTGCGACCTGTAAATCACATTTCGGGCTCATCCTTTTACTGATGACCATGCATTCTGTCTCACTCTCTTTCACTACCTTCTGTAGAAGGTTTTATAATTTCTTTTCCGTGTCTGCTATCAGTATTGTGTCATCTACGTGAAACATTACATACCAATTATTTGCGAATTTTGACTCAGGAGCTCAGAAAGAACGGTTCAAATTGTTCAGGAACGCAGGGCTCAAAGGGTTAAAAAAAAAAAGAAAAAAGGAGGATGTGGGCGTGTGTAGCATGCAAGAATATTATTGGTTGTTTGTCCTTGTTCAAATTCTCTTGTCTTGTCTTCCATGATTCTAAACGTAACATAATAATGCAGCAAATAACGCTTTTACATGTCGGCTGCGTAACTGCTAGATTGTTTTTGTTTTGGTTTTTTTTTAGTTTTTTTCGTTGTGGCAAGAAGCTATGATTTAATCATTTCATTTGATGTTTATATATAGAACACTATTTAGCCACAGAAATGGGCCACATTTTGTCGGGCTTTCATATTCTGAGTGTTTTCAGCTGTTGAAATCTTCGCCTTCTACCCTGGCAAACCTTTTTGTGCTAGCAGCCAGACACTCAGTTGAGGCTTCGTTCCAGCGATGACGTAAAAGAACGTTTCTGACTCCTGCTTTATCGTCTTTGACACCGGCAGTCACGCAGGAATCTAGAAGAGGCAGAACGAATAAATTAATCTGGGGAAAGACGCCATTAAATGTCATTTTCAAATGTTCATAGTGAAGGTCACTTTGCAATCCATTACACACTTACACTAATTCTGGGCTTAATACACGTTTAACTCCACAGATCTGATAAACTTGGGATGAGTACGGGTGATGACGCTACACCAACACCCTCTGTTGTTAAAACTGAGGGTAGATAACTAAATCTATTGTCTTGGCCTCAATTTATAACATCCATCCTCCTGAAAAGTCCAAACCTTTCGGACATTGATTGAACCAGTCCTATTTCTCTGGATCAGAAACTTGGACATTATCTGTTCGTCTTGAAAGAAGACTGGATAGAACATATACAAAACTACTTAGAAAAATCCAGAACATTAGTTGGAAATCCCATGCAACGCTTAACACATTTTACGGAGAACTAAGACCAATCTCTCTTAAGCTCAAAGAAAAGTGATTACAATTTGCCGGCCACTGCCACCGAGCGGACAGGGAAATCATCTCATCTTTACTCCTATGGCATCCTTTTAGAAGTGTCTTCTCACGAAAATTGACTTTCCCACATGCCATAGCTCGGGACTTAGGGTTAGACATTGAGGATTTGGGGACAGAAATACAGGACTGAACGGTGTGGAAAGGGAATGTCAATGGAGTTCTGACCAACCATAGGGAGGTCGAAGGTTGATGATGATAATGTTTTGAGTTGAGTCTGTATCATTTTTGTTTGATCTGATAACTAAACAGAGTTTGTCTTCTTGTCCTCCATTTATAACAATGCTAATGAGACTGTATCATTTGTTTAAAATCGTTACTGTCATTAATTATTCAAAATTAATTTTCTTCGTTCTGGGTATGATGATAAACTACAACTGGCAGCAATGCAATCAGGAGATTGGAAGTTTTGGGAAGTGTGGAACCACCTCCTAATTGCTGTTATTCCCAGATCCACACTGACCCGGAGTGGTAGCACCTGTTAGGTTCTCAGCTATGGGCAGATAGTGAACTCCCAAACAAAAATCAGTTCATTTTTATAATAAAATGAGCAACACTACAAAAATACATTAAAATTACCAACAATAAATTTTATGATCTGCAAAATATATATCTTAAAAAACATACCTTTTACTCGAAAAGTCTAAAATGATGTACAAAATATATTCAGTTGAAGCCATAAAATTGCATTCAAAATATTTAGATTTCGGCATTAAATAACCCATAGAGGTTTTGATATACCACTAATCAAAATCAACAATTAACTAACTAATGCACTCCTCTTTAAAAAATACGTCAATGAAACCTGATCTACAAGCTGATTTCTTACAAAGAATACATATTCTATTCATACGAACCTATCCATTGAGGTGTTGATATACCGTAAAACAAAATAAACCAAACCAAAATTCATTTTCTGTTTCTTTTCCTGAAACAGCTTTTATATAAGCTTGTCTGGTAGATCATTACTATTGTAGTAAATTAGATCAAGTGCTGTTCTATATTTGCCCTGTGCCAGATATTTGCAATCGACGTCATAAGCAAAACGTAGTTAAGTAACAATAGCAGTTGATTTCTCGAATACAATCTCAATCGCGATCAGAAATCTCTTTATCCATTAATCGTAAGGGTACCTCGTGTACTGTAGCCATAGCAATGGTGGGTATGTCTAGGCATGATAGCCTAACAGAGCTTATCTCTCTTCAAGCTAGACTGGCCACCATCCAGGACTAAAGAGCATTCTACTCCGCTGTTTAACCCATATAAAAAAGATTGATTCATGCCTTTTCCGAGGGCATTAGTGCCAAGAAAACGAAACAGATACAGCCAGAAATTGATTCATAATACATTGTAGATTCTAAACAACTCTTCAGTAATTTTAAACAGTCGTCGTTATCCCCGGCTTTATTTAAATTGTTTAATTTAAATTAACATTCTTCCATTTCTCTCTACTCGTGAGAATGGGTGATTGAGAGGGTGGGGCTCACGAGTGGAATAGCCTAGGGTCTCTTCATCTAAAACCGGTCCTGGATGTTACCCTCAGAAGATTTTTCAGAGAACACCGTGCATCTCTGACAGAAGACGCGCCTCATTAGACCTAAAAGGGGTTCGACGCTGAGTCGAAGATCGAAATCACTATTCTAAAAATTAACTGTAAGAGTAATTTGATAATTATCGATCTGTAACCAATGCCGGATTTACTTATAGTCTTCTTAACAGGTTGAATCCTAGGGCCTCAAAATCTAGGGGACCTCCAGCCAAGGCGTATATTTTTGACACTGTCACAGGCCTTTCTTACACATGCCGTCATAATGCATTGTAGACTTTAAATAACCCCTCAGTAATTTTAAACACCCGTCATCATCCTCGGTTTTATTTAAATTGTTTAATTTAACATTCTTCCATTTTCCTCTACTCGTAAGAATGG